TAAATAATAATATAGTATAGGTATTTTAAATTCTAAAACTGAAAATGTTATATGCATTTATACTAACTAGTTATTATATTTATAGTACTTAGTTCTTCATTTATACGTTTTTAATTTATAATAAATAGTGTATAAGTAATAATTTTAACTAAAAGATTGTTTAACTACCCACATTATAAATAACAGACTGCTTTAAAGAGTGCTTCAAGACTTGGAAACTAAACGATAATAAATATGTTAAAAATAAACTAACTGAATCGAGTATCAATCATAGATGGACATTTAAATATTATAGTTTAAATATCAAAGATGCATATGATGTCATCGTAAATTTAAAATTAGATTTTGTCAAAAAATATTTTCCATTAAAGTTCAAGCGTGATGATGACGATTATTCTTTTATTTTTAGTTGTTGAATATTAAATCAACCGCTCTCAAATTTATTATTCATCAATTCAGTTACAATATTGAATTCTACCTGGATAAGGATTGAGAATCATTGTAAACACATTATGCTTTGCCAGGTAGGTTTACACGTGCGTTCGCGCTCTGTTGGGTCACTGCACAATGTAATATGACACTAAAGCAACCGTGATACAATATACAGAAATTCTGGAACCACGGGATATAATTTGAATACGATTTGAAAATCGAAAACCTTCTCCCCGAGTGTACGAATTCAATTTTGGAAGATATCAAGATGTTTACGACGCTACTAAACAGTCGGTGGTCAACGGGCCACTCGATAAGTTGTGTTTGACGAGAAATTGCTGTCTCTGTTGTTATCTGTAAGTAAAATTTGCAACACTTTTGATAATATTATATCAATGTACATATTTATTCATGGCATAGCTATCTAACGACATGCGCTTTAAAAAATAACCTCTGCATTAGAATGACGTATCTTAATCTGTCATCCGTTCATCAAGGTTAGGCGTAGTATTTCTTTATGGTAACTTTGCTTTAAATAAACGAATTGTCTGCAGTATTGTTCAAGGTTAGATTCGTGATTATCGAATATAATAATGAAATATCTCCTGCGTTACTGTGTTACATATGAAGTGGATTAGATTATTGTGTCTAAAAATAATGGACAATATTACAGAGAATAATGTGACTTGACTGTTATGCGTTAAAGCAGACTTTTAAACAATAAAGTTTGTAATTGATAAAATTTATCTACCTATTTCTAATGCTAGTTACATTGGACAAAGTTAGATATTTAATATAGATATGAATGTCCATTTATCGATGTTAATAATTTAGAGTATAACAGATAGGAAGTAGTGATAGGAGTTGGAAGAAAAGAAAGGGCTCAAAGTCAAGGAAATAATATAATAAAGATAATAATTAAAATATACACAAACTAAAATACGCAGCTTACTTACATGACAGCAGACAACAAAGACCAAAGAAAAAAGGAGAATAAAAAGTCACCAAAAAAATATACTTCTAAAAAAATCTCACCGGCCTGCTGGCCAGTTTGTAACATAGAGTAAGAAATATTTATTTTAGTAGAGTGTTATATTTATATAACATTTTATATTTAATTATAGCGCTATGTTTATACTGATTTGCAAAACAAAACTTGTGTTTTTTGTTTTTCATTTCCATTTTATTCATCGCGCAAAAGTGGCATATGAGGAACATTGTTATAAAAATTAATAATTATTAATATATTTATCTATAACTTATTCACTAATTGAGAACAACTAAAATAACGCCACTGTTGCTGAAATAGGAACAGACATCATGTAATCCAGCGTAATTCCTTATAAACCCCATATAACTTATTTTCGATAACTTAATTGTCATAAGTCAATCTCTTATAAAATTAGGACACTGTTCATCAAATATTATCACAAACAAGTATCATCAGTATAAGATTTTTGTCCAGAGGAAATTTTAATTGAAAAATGCCATTAATAAAGACCAGAAGGAGTGTAGACCATGTACACTGTCCTGAGTTACATCATGTCTTAATTTAAGATTATCGTTAATGTGATAACTAATTTTCGCATATTTACATCGAATAGAAAAATAACTATCAAAAAGTTTTAGTTGCATACTACGGATTCCAATTGATTCTAGTTTGGATAAATTTGATTAATAATTTTTTTATTATGTTTAATATTTATATTTTTTCTACATACCGCCTCTTTTTGTGTAAATTTTATGGATTGTTTTGTTTCATATAATAATCGGACATTAAGCTTTTATACGATTACTTTTGAGTTTATTTTCCAGGTAAAAAAAAAAACTTTAAACCACATTTCAGGATGTATATATATCTCAGTGGATAGCTTGGCGTAGCTCTCGACTTTCACAAGTGCTTGTAACAGCCTAGACTGAATAAATGATTTTGATATAATTGTTTTTGAAATTGCAGTTAGCGTACCGATTTTCAAAAGAATATGACATCACATTCCTAGTTAGGTGGGACAGAGGTAATATTTTAGGATAAAAGTTGATCTTCTATCAATAAAAAATAATGAAGCTTGCGACAACAATCAGCCAGGAAATGGTCAAGTCATACTTTGGTTAATTGAAATATCAATTGGTCAGTACTGGTGGCTCAAATGGCTGATAATATTGTAAAATCGACTGATTTATAGTAATTTCTTGCACATATATATATGCTTTAACTATGATATCTAGCAACTTGCACACCCACTCAGTATCTGCAAGACCAAGTCTTTTCCTTCCCGTAGAGGGCGACTCCTCTCTACCCTCCGCAATAGGAGTCCCAGCGCGGCGGAAGAAACTGGGCCCTTTTTGCTGGATACCGGGTTATTCTTATCCGCGTGAGGTGAGCCGCAGCGGGCTTTAAGATTAAGGTACATTTCCCCTGCTTCGGACCCGGCGGACTTCTTTATGGATTCCGGGGTCCTTCCCCCTCCCCAAAGAGATTACTGAAGAACGAACGAGAACCTGTCTTTACAGGTTAGAGGCGTCGTTGGAGAGTCCTGGTTTAAGACTTAGGTACATTTCCCCAGCGTTGTTAAAAAAAAGGCTGTGGAAATTGCTAAATATCACAGTTATGGCAATGGTCTATAAAATAACGCTCAATTCTAATAAATACTAACTTACAAAAAAAACATCATATAATAATGAATTTCGACTACGAAATGTGATAATTTTGTAACTACTATACAGATTTTAAAAATGATTCCACCTACGGTAAGTAACATCTCATTTACACAAAGAATAAGATTTCTTTTACTGATTGTTTGTAATGGATAAACTCAAAAGGCAATGGACTAATTTGAAATTCTTTTACCAGTCAATATACCTATAAAGTAAATATTTTTACAGTATATGTTAAAATGTTCAGACTGTATGAAGTTAGTCGTGACAGCTATTTATATTTGACAATATTAAGCGGTAAAAATTATGCCATCTATTTGTATATGTTATGACAGATTCATTTATGTGCCTGTGTTGTAAAATTTATAGGTCAATATAAAAATAGGCTGTGTTACCATGAAGAGTAACGAAATCAAATCGAGTATCACACGAAACAGTTGCGTCTTTGGTTAAAAGTTCTATATTTCGAGGGTTCAGTTTCGTTTCATTTAAAATACAAGGATTTCAGTGTTAATAATTTCGAGATTTAGGCATTATATCAAAAATAATAATAAATAAGACTCTAGTTCATGAAAGCTAAGAATATCATGACAACGAGCAGCAAATCAGGTAAATAGTTTTCTTATAGAATAAAACAATCTTCTTTCAAGCATCATTTGTCGATAAAAAACTAAAAAGTTCATAAAAAAAATCTAGTCTTATTTTTATATTTACAAATCATTTGTTCTCATTAAAATTATAGATATTACTTATTCTTTATCCTTTTACTTATAATTGGATCTGATCCAGACATAAGATTTGTTACTATATTACTAGTGGCTATTTTCATCATCAATAAAATAGTTTTTTGCAATCTCGGGACAGACTGCGAATATTTCTAAGTAAAATGCTGGTCATTGGTAAGCGCAACACTTAAGAAAGGGTGTAAAGTTTTGGTTTCTAATCAGAATAAAGACCTTTATTATAATGCAAATAAGGTTCTTAGTAAGAAAATGAGCATTATAAATCTCCAAAAAAAAAAACACACAGCTTTAAAGTCCTAGTTTGGTTACGATTTATTGAAATACGGACACGGCAATATTTGTTGCGTCAGTTAATCGAATATAAAATAATAATATGAACGGGAGATATATGTAAAGTTATTAAATAATGTTAAATATTTCAGAAAACTATTTGTTTTGTTAATATATATTCTCGGCATTTTAATGTACTAAAAATGTATGAAAGACATTAATTAAACACTGAATTTTTAAGGAGAGAATTTAGATTTACCGGTGCTCACAACCCTGAACTTTATAATTGGACGGCTATTGTATGAATTGTAAATACCTAACGCATCATCAAGATTGCATATGTCATCAATTATGAAGAGTTCTTATTAAATTTTCATTCATAAAGAAGGTTAATATGTGGTAGTTATTTTCTTCGTATATATTTCCATTGCTTATCCGGTGGTTTAAAAAAATGATTTCAGAATAAACACTGAGAAAACCTATCTAAAACTTATATTCATGGCACTATGCGGCATACCTAACGTTTCAGTAGTAGACAGACAGCACTTAAAAACTGGTTTTTTTTTTATAATTGGACCACAATTTATCAATGAACATAAAAATACTACTTTTATCGTTCGATGTTGTCAACCACCGTTTCAAAAAAGATAGTCAAAGGTAATACATTTTATTTGCAACTGTCGTCCAGATGATTGGCATTGGTTGGCAACTAGCAAGGTTACCTCTGTTAGAACGCTGACTTGCAAGCATGTGGATCACATTTTATAATTGACTACGGTAAAAAACTAAGCTATTCATTTGCCAATCTGTGGCGGGAGGCTTTGTAAATACAAAATCTCCACCCTATCTTTTTGAGTGTTCCGAAAATTTTAACTTTATTCTTTTCAGTTTCAGTTAAAAATGGACTTTATTCTATTATGGCTATTCTCATTTGTTATCGGATTTTGGATATTTCGTAAAATAAGCGAATGGAAGAATCTGCCACCTGGTCCATGGGGTCTACCTATTCTAGGGTATCTACCCTTCATAGATCCACAGCAGCCTCATTTAACTCTTACCAAATTGTCTAAAACTTTTGGACCTATATATGGTATTAGTATGGGAAATATATACGCTGTCGTTTTGTCTGATCATAAGTTGATAAGGGATGCATTTTCTAAAGAAACGTTTTCTGGTAGAGCTCCACTATATCTGACTCATGGCATAATGCACGGCAATGGTAAGTCTGATAAAATTTACTTTTAAATTTGAAAATTTTAAGAATAAATATGTTATATATCTTTTTATTTGAAATCGGAGCCAAGAAATATTTTTGTCGTTCATGTTCTTTTTGGTTTTTTTATTAGGTATTTTAGTAGTATTTGGTTTTAGCGACAAAAATATTAAATAGAGAAATTTGAATGATGTCATAAACGCTTTATCCTTCTTATTGCATATATTTACTCATAGTTGGACAAATCCTAATGGTTATTTTTCAATACAACTTGAGAATGTCAGAGAATTTAGCAATAGTTTTTGAAGCGTGATCAAAGTTTATGAAGAGATTTTTTTTTCTTTTTCTTTTCGGCTGGTGCAGGGTTCGGCAATATCATGATACGGCAGAGCCAAAACCAATAATTTACATTTCACGGTTTTTAAATAGCCACTGAGAGATTTCGTTGTAATATTATTCATGTTATATTTGAGATATTATTTGAATAAACGTCTTTGAATATCTATCTTTCAGATATGATATATTTCAATCGGTATGGCTATTTAACTATATATATATATATCTCTCCGGTAACATGATTTGAAAGGATTCAATACTAATATAATATTTTTTTGTAAATATACTTGAGAACTTGAACCGCAGGTTGGCAACCCCTGAGCTAGCAGAAATATAAAAATTAAGAAACAACTCAAAATTATTATAGATTAATTTTTACTGTTTCTACAGGTATTATATGTGCTGAAGGTACTTTGTGGAAAGATCAAAGGAAGCTGGTGTCGTCCTGGTTAAAAAGTTTTGGCATGAGCAAGCACAGCGTGTCAAGAGATAAGTTGGAGAAACGCATAGCTTCGGGTGTATATGAACTCATTGAAGTACGTCAAAATCTAAAAAACAGTATTATTAAATTACAAATAAGTAAATAAAATATAATTTTAGGAGTCAACTTCATAGTCTTCATAGTAATCTAATCATTGTCATTCACAGGGCTTATCGTGTTACATGAGTAAAATAATGAGGAACTATTTAAAAAAAAACGAAAGCACTAAAAAAGCAACTCCACTAGATGGTGACTCTAGCAAAAGTTGATTTTTGCAGGAAACGAATGGACCAAAGACAGTCATTTCCGTTCTTTTTAACAGACATATCAAAAAACAGAAATTCGTAAAGTTCGAAACTTAGATATCAATAAAAATATGAAAAAATAGAAATAGAATATGAGTTGTTGGTTGAGTTTTGAAAACGAATTTACTTTTAAACATAAAAGAAAACCGGAAGGGTTGTCTTGGAGAAATCAAAAACTTACCGTAGCGACATCTAGTTTGATTTCGGAAACTAATGTTTTTTTTTTAAATACCTCCTCATTGACGTTATTATTTCTAAGATCAACCTCATCAGCTCATTATGACGCACGACTGTGAGCGCTATTTGGGATCAGCATTCGCTGCATTTTTACAATGAATGATTTCTTAGCAGCTATCTGCAGTCTTTCTACTTATTTATTCCTCCTTCTCCGTAGTAGTGGTTCACACGCCGATTTCAGGGTGCCGCCATCTCTAAGTTCAACTCACGGTAGGGTCAGTGTAGAAAATGGATGTTTCTAGAATATCTCGTGTCTTATGGTACTCCTATCATTCCTTCATTTCCATATGTCAAAAAAAAGATTGGAAAGATGCATTCGATTTGATAACATGTGGTATCCCATCAGACAAATCGCCGTTACTAAAGTTGCTGAACTTCTTCATCATCCAGCTGCTTCATAAAACTTTTAACTCATATAATAGCTAAAGAATAGTTAAAGAAAAAACTAAAAAGATTGTCTGCTACTTTTGTGTCTTTCTATATATACAAAAAAAATATAACAAATATCTCTTGAACCCTAGGGGATTAATTAAAATACCATCTGATAATACAATTTACATGACTTGAAAGGTATGTTTTTTACACTTTTTCTCTACATGCCTCTGTTTCTTAAAACTATTCGACGACTCATAAGTGCATACAATATCCAATAAACTCACTTGCATAAATATGATCTTCTTTCATTCAAAATAAGTTATGCCATATGTGTTTGTACGTAATTGAAAAAGCTAAGTCCTTACTTGTCCTCTAAGTTAATCAGATAATGTCTTAAATATTCTTCAGCAGCTTTTTATAAGAACAATACAATGGTTTTAGTGAATCCAATTAGTTTCATTCACGCTTCGTTACTTTAACACAAAGACATTACTTACGTAGCACTACATGAGTAGGAGCTTTGGAACTATCAAAGGTGAAGCTGGCGCGTGTAACACACGAGAAAAAATGCAGTTTTTATGATCACCAAAGCAAATTCATTTCTGAAAGTGACCTTTGATGTCACTGACAATATAAAAATAGCAAAAAACACGACCGCCAAGTTTTTTATTTAGTATCAGACTTGTTTTTTTTGCATTTTTTAAGTTTGCCTAGGAGAATAATAGATGGGATGTGTAAAAAGTTATTTTTTTTTTATTTATTCGCTAAATTGATTTGATTGCGATATACAATTTTTTTTTCAGAATATTGATAAATCATCTGGATCTGAATTAGATTTAGTACACATGCTCACTAACTCATTGGGGAACGTCGTTAATGAAATAATTTTTGGATTCAAGTTTCCCCCTGATGATAAAACATGGAACTGGTTTCGCCAGATCCAAGAAGAAGGGTGCCATGAAATGGGTGTTGCAGGCGTTGTGAATTTTTTACCATTTGTAAGGTAATCTATTGTACCCTCCTTCAAAAGGGGAACGTCCAAATGTCAGCACGCACGCACCGGCTGCACGACATGCAATTGATTTTATTAAAAAATTCTATGACATCATGAGCATAATACCGACATTAAAACTGATCGAAGCATTTTTCATAGAAGCATCAATGGAATACGCGACTGCAGTTGACGTATGCATCGACAGATCCGTGCGTGTCGTGCGGGCGGTGCATGCGTGCTGAGGCAATGGATGAGCACCTTAACATTCACAAAAGCTTTTATAAGTAAATATTAACACATACTAGCAATAACGAACGATTAATGATATAGTTACCTAATATATTTTGTAGATTTATTTCGCCGTCTACGAAAAAGACAATTGAAGTCCTGGTTCGAGGTCAAGCCCAAACACATAGGCTCTACGCCAGTATCATAAACAGAAGACGTAAAATGCTAAGCTTAACAACGCCGAAAGGAGCGGAATACATTCTCCATAAAAAATTATTTGTTGAACATCCAGAAGGCCACATCAAGTGCATTACATATAGCAAATATGCCGCCAACCAAGAACATTTCTTTGATCCTAACATTTTGATACCAACAGAAGATGAATGCATTTTAGACAATTTCTTAAAAGAACAGAAACAAAGATTTGAAAGCGGCGAAGAATCTGCGAGATTTATGACAGATGAACAGCTTTTATATTTGCTGGCCGATATGTTTGGAGCTGGTCTTGACACCACGTCTGTAACATTGTCTTGGTTTTTATTGTACATGGCTTTATACCCTGAGGAACAAGTAAGAACTGCTTAATAGCTATCCTAGTATCTTAAATTTAAAGCTTAAAATCAAAATGTTTTTTAGTAAAATCTAGAAATTTACTTTAATTTGATTATTGTTGGATATCTGTCATTCTTTATTTGAACCTTTTTCATAGGAACTCGTTCGGAAAGAAATTTTATCAGCCTACCCAGAGGATGGAGAGGTAGACAGCTCAAGGTTACCTTATCTGATGGCAACAATTTGCGAAACCCAGAGAATTCGATCAATTGTACCCGTTGGTATACCACATGGTTGTTTACAGGTAATATGATATTGCATATTAAAAAAAAAGTATTTTTTATTGCATTCGTGAAATGTAATCGAAGCTGATAATAAGAATATACCTGATAGTATATAGTACTATACTTTATTCCCTTCTTTCTTTAAATATTCCTCAAATTATAAAATAAGGTTTTTAAGGCCAATAAACAAAGGGCTTTTTATCCCTTTTCACATACATGCTTATACATCATGCTAAAAGAATAGACCAGCAGATAGACCATGGTCATTTCTTAATACCAGCAGTGGAATCATCATCAGGCTATCAATATCTATTGATTGAGACTTTACTATTGATGGAATCCAATAGGGAGAATATCAACCAAACTGACTAGTTTATGATATAATGATAAATGTTATAATAATAGTAACTGATTTTATTTTAGGATACATATTTAGGAAATTACAAAATTCCAAAAGGTGCCATGGTAATACCTCTTCAGTGGGCCATTCATATGGATCCTGATGTGTGGGAGAATCCGGAGGAATTCAAACCAAGCCGTTTCTTAGCTCCGGATGGTAGTTTGCTAAAGCCTCAAGAGTTTATACCTTTCCAAACAGGTTATTGATACATATTCTTTTTACATTTAAGCCTGTAGATAACATATCGACCAACTCTAATGTATCCAACGTTATATTTCTAAAGACCGTTATCACTTTGCGGTATGAATATTATCATGACACTTCTATCACAAATACTTAAAAAAGCGCATCAAATGCGAGTCTAGATAACATACCGAAATTTCTGTGCAAATGCCGCTAGTAAAATTCGAAAATAATGAGAACGTTAGATTTACACAACGTTGCATTTTCATAGTTCCCAAGATAGTGCAATCAAACTGAGCGTCAACGAAATGTAACCGGGTTAGCTAATAGATTTGTCAAATTGCAGGCGGGGAGAAGTTAATAGGCTAAGTGGTGGTGTCTATAAACATACGCTTTCAATTAAGTACTTTTTTGTTGACTATCAATTTGACCTGTATACATTTAACATTGTTGGAATTGTACAAATTTCAAATGTCGGATGTGAGCTTCTCAACACATGTGTCAGATTTTGTATGTATAGAATCTATGCTTACATGTTTGTCAATAATTCTTTTTTATTTGATTAGTGAGTTTCAACGTAGGGAACAGCTTTAATCTTATGATACGTGTACAAAAATATATATGTATATAAGTATCCCATTAAATCGAATAGGGAGAAAGGGCCAAAAACTCACCACGCGGGCACAGTGCGAATCGCGAGTGTTAACGACAGCAGATGCAGCTTAACGGCTTAACGTACCTTTCGAAAAATGAAGGAGCTGTCTTGAGCTCAAGATAATACATTTCTGGCAACCCATCCTATGACCGGCCATTTCAAAAGTTGCTTCACAACCGTATCGGTTTACTAAACGCCCTAACCACTCCGTTATCAGGCTCCAATTAATATTGTTATATCTAACCATTGATTGCTGTTTCTTTAGGTAAACGCATGTGTCCAGGTGATGAGTTGTCTCGGATGTTATCATGTGGATTGATAGCCCGCCTTTTTAGACGTCGCCGTATCCGACTCGCATCGAAACCGCCTACTCCTGAAGAAATGCGGGGTACAGTCGGTGTGACTTTGTCTCCACCAGTCCTGAAATATTATTGTGATCCATTGTAAAAAAAACTCTTAAAAAAAATTAAATGCTATTCTGACTCTAGTAGAAAGTTTTTAGAATAAATGACTCTTGCAATTCTTCAAAATTTTTTAATTTTCTTCTGCTAGTTGTAAACAATAATAATAATAATTTTCAACATAATATATAAACATGATTTTCTTCTTTAACTTAGTTTTATAATTTTTATAATAATATTTCCTTAAAAACAATCATAATTATTTGTAAAAGATGCTAATTTTACAAAGTCAAAAGGCAAAAAAGATCGATGAAGAATTGCTACTACAAATACTAAACGAGACTTAACGTGATCAGACGTTTTTGTGGTCTGTGTCGATGGCCTCGAGGGTAATCTTGGGACGCAAATATGTTCCGTTTTCGAAATGGACAGAAGATTTTGTTGGTCACACTTAAACTGTGTGTCCAATAAAATTTGTAGCCTGCACAGTGAAGAAGAGGAGAAGGCAAAAAAATAGCATTTTGCTGTCTGGACAAATATCTATATATAAATCTCAAGAATTTAATGTGCAGTTGTAACAGTGATGTGTTTTTGAAGTTGATTTCTACAACTAAACTGCTTAAATTAAATTCTTCTATCCTGACTGTTCAGTTGGTGCTTACCATCCCGGTAATTATGACGTAATTTTGGCCGTTCCCTAATACTTTAAGGGTCGAAAATCATTGGGCCTTTTTAGGTACCTGAATGCTATATTTGGACATTGACATTGACAGATGTTGCTACCTCTACCTCTATTAATTGACTATACAAGGATTTTTTTTAAAGGAAATGATGTTATTAAGTTTTGAATTTTAACTGGGAGCAATATCCAAGTAGCTCTACTATGCTTTCTAAATGCAGTTAGTCATAAATCAATACACAGTATATAACAAAGTAACTTCTGTCTGTATGTTGAGATCTTTTAAACTATACATATACAGAGTGATTTAAGAGATAGGATTATATGTATGTACAATACAAGACCACAAGGACGAAGCCGTTGATAGAAAGCTAGTATAGTAATAAATAAAATATACTTTTGTTAAAAATAATACGACTAGGAACTCCGTGGCTGAGTGGTGCGCAGGTTACAAGGAATCGCAATGAACTTTTCTATATTACCGAGTGTTGTGGTTTATGGTTTTCGACTTCCATAATGCAAGTGCGTTTGCTACTTTATTTAGGGTCTGAGCAATGTATGCGATGTTGTCTAACACATATAATATTATTTTACACGTTTATTTCAAATAATCATAATATAATAAAGCATGTTGGTTTATAAAAGTCGATTATGAATGTGTATTCTCTTTCGGAGATATAAATAGTTCATTAGACTATGTTAAACTTTTCTTTCAGTTGTTTTAAAAAATAAATAGTGATCAGTCTGAATTAAAAAAAATTTCAATCCTATTAATTCATAACGAATGAAGCCATGAAAAAAAATAGTATTAGTTCCCACAATACTTCGGTCAATAACCTTCATTATATGTTACGTTTCCATTTTAATTGGTATTCATAAATTGACGATAACAACAAAGGATTCAAATTACCAAGCATTAATTTAAAACCTTTGAAAGGTGTGCGTTTGCTCAAACCTTTTCGTAAAAATAATACTTCTAGGAATCAACTCGAGCAAAATGTCAATGGTCAAAGACCTTAGGAAATAATAGATTCATTAGTAAGATATTTATTATTCTAATACTTTTTTTATTTTCATAAATAATAATAAATTAAGACTAATGCACGTTCCATAAGTAAATGAATTAATTATAATAATATAACAGACAGTACAACTATCAGCCTTCTTCCAGGCAACCATAACATGACATGAAAAATTGGGTAGTCTATGGTGCTTAAAGAACCCCATATCATTAACAAAAATATGAATAATTATTCAGATCAATGGTCTATAAATACATAGTCATATATAAATTCATACACATATAGGGAAGGTTCTGGGTAAAATGCATATGTTAATGTGATAAAATAAAATGTCATGTTTAATCAACATTTATTTAAATAATTGTTAAAATAAATGTTGATTATTTATTTAAATAATTGTTAAAATTTTAACAATTTCTTATATTAAAATCTTTCCGAAAATCGTAAGAAAATAGCAGAAACTCTTTTCTTCACCACACAACAACGAACGCCTGCATTGTTTTGGTCATACTGCCATGGCGTCACCAACCGCATACAGAATCGTGGTGGCAAATGCCGAAGCGAAATCTATAATCGATATTTAGAAGATCCATTATTCCTCTTACTTCCCGTATTCTTTTAAGAAAGACAAAGTAAAGATTATGATTAATAAATTTATAAATTATACAGGAAAATTTATATACAGTGCACCAAATTGAATATTGTGTTCATTATGGTGAATCATATTCGCGTTTTTCTCTTTTTTAACCCGCTAACGTTAGAGTAAAAAAGATATTTAAATACTTATAATATGTATGTTAATACCTACTCCCACAATTTGTATACTACTGTTGATATAAACATGAAAATGTTAATAAATATACAAATGAAAATTAAATTATCGATTAATAATATTTGAATATATTATATAAATTCGTAAATATGTTTCACTGGCTGTATTCCCGTAACTTAGCCCACGTAATTTATGGCTTATGTCACTCGCGTATGATGTAGCTTCTCGTAAGGGAAAGAATTTTATAATAATAGCATAGATTAACTTAGCCACAGGAAAAATAGTGCACTGATAACAAATGTTAATCTGATAAAAAATGTTATCTTTATAATCTAACTAACATTCCGCCAGCGGCTTCGCTTACATGGTCGCTAAGAAACTGTTTATTTGGATATCGATTTATATCATGACATTGATGTAATTACAATGACAAATTGAAAAGTAAACGATGGTTACTATGGTAACGTTTTAATTCTCTATGAAAATTGCTTTGCCATTGTCATCTATTTATTTGCTGTGTTCGGAATAAAATATAACCTATGTTCTCCGCATATGATCTAGTTTCCCGTATGTGAAAGAATTTTTAAAATTGGCCTAGTAATTTCTGCCTATTAGTTGCAACAAACAATCAAATGTTTCATCTTTACTATCCTATTAATATTATAAATGTGAAAGTTTCTTTGTTTGGTTTTGATGAAATTTGATATACAGATAGGGTGTTAGCTGACTTAGATAATAGGATACTTTTTATCCCACTAAACATTTCCCTAGACTCCACGCGGGCGAAGCCGCTAGCGAAAGCTAGTAGATATATAAAATACTCGTAGGTATGATGACTGATTTTAGTTTTTCTGTCTGTCGGGTATATTACTGAAAAATATTAAATACGTATTTTGTATTTTTAGCGTAATCAACAAATTACGATTATACATTGAGTCAAATGTCGCGTGACGTTTTATTTTTGTGACGTAACGAGCTCTTATCTCTCAACTTTAATGCCTATTACCTAAGCCATTTCATGTTTAAGTGAAGCAAAAAAAAAACCTATTCTCGTGTCAGTTTTAATTACCATACTCGTCAGAAAAGGCTTGACCGATTACAATGAAAATTTTAAGTATATTCAGTAGGTCTGAGAATATCTATTTTTTAACCGCTAAGTGATAAGAGTGGTCCACCCCAAATTAATATGAAAAAAATAAACGTTTGTAGTTGGTTGTAGTGTTTACTTTAGTAATACGAGAAAAAACATTTAAAATAAGTATTTTGTTTTGTGTTACGTATAAATTTTGATGATTTATTGGAATTAAAAAAACCGGAAGCAAGATTAAGATCTGAGCCCCTGAACCATCCATAAGGAAGGCCTGACCCCCTGCAGTGGGGACGTAAAAGGGCTGGTGATGATGATGATGAAGATTAAGATGGTGGCTAGATGCTGTTTTTGAACTCTGTAGTTGTATGTATATAATGAACTTACTAATTTTTAAAGATTAAAAATTCATCAGTCACAGACACACCGTGATGGGACTCGAACCTAAAACCTTTCGCAATCCGGACTGCTCTAACCATTGAGCTACCCGAGACCCAACCGACTAGTGAGTGGATACCGCTCAATCCTTATCAGTGTTATGGGGCTCTTATCCTATCCAGAAGTAGTGTCTGGTATATTTTAAGGTATTTTTTTTAAAGATATCTATATCTATAAATGTGTAATACAGCATTTTGAATGCAGAATAGATCAAATGAAGTAATTTTATATTTTTCTTACTCAATCTGTTCGCTTTCTATATAATATAAGAAAACCTCTTTTATTCGAGAAATATTTAAAAGATCTCCATGTTTTACTTTTTAGACTATAAACTTATCAAATTTATAAGCTATTCGATAAGGTATGTCTGGTCAATAAAAAATCAAAAGTTCAATGTTTTTAAATCATAATTTATTTTTCACTGTTACGTATTCCAAAACTATTGCATATATACAAAGCTCGGTAAATAAGATATGGTAAAACGACGGTGAGTTGAGAGTTCTAACAGACTTAATAAAGTACACAGTACAAGTCAGCAACTTTGTTGCAAACAAAACATATTAGAAGCTTCAGGCTAAGTTACGAAAACTAGATTAATAATATCAACTCACTTAGACTAGCTGCAGGTCCCTATTCTAACACGGACTGTCTTATTATAAAACGAGAACTAAAGTTGGTATTTGGTTCAAACCATTGGCCACCTAAAGCAAATGACAATGGCAAAAGAGAAAACGTCAAAGAGAGACGTATTGACTTATTTTGGTCGGATAATGTTTTAAACCTGGTACTTAAGTTAGTTCTCGTATTATGGTAAGATTGGGAATGCTTATACATACACAATAGGAAAAAATGAACATCGTAACGACATTGAGATCACACTCAAAATAAAACACACACAAGTGAAACACTTAATTACTAATAAATAATGATCTAGAATAATTCATACATTCAATTTGGTATAGGTACTAGAACTTAATCAACTAACAAATAATTTACAAAAATTATTTCGTAATTAGTTATTTTGTGTGATTTGCGTAATATCTGATAAATTTATAATCTACTTAATACTGCAAACACACTTGCGTAACATTTTATAATCTCAACGATGGGAATTTTCTTTACGCTTAAAACTATTCATTACAAATAAATATTGAACACTTTATGCACAGCCTGGAACATCGCTTTAGCGACGTCGTAATTTAACGTAACCTAGTCTAGTCTTAAATAAATGGTTAGAGATACACTCTAAAACGAGCGATCAGCGAATACTGGTGGGTTTGTGGCGAAGAGGCTCAACTTATTTAGTGGGAGCCTACGTACCGAAGTTGTGAGTGGTCAGGCGGAGTCACGGGTGCGACTGGCAATGGCGATGATCTTGGCACAAATCGAACACGGAACGCCTTTGGAGCGATCGTCGCACCTACGATGCCCTCTAAAGAAGGCATAGGATCACCTTCGTTTAGTTCGACATCATACTGGTGCATCAGACACGAAAAGAACATGAACATTTCCATTCGTGCCAGAATGTCACCGAGGCACATGCGGCGACCGACTCCAAACGGCATGAAGTATTCTGGCCGTTTGATTTTGCCGTTTTCATCGATGAACCTGCTCGGGTTGAAAGATTTGGGTTCTTCCCAGAGGTTGGGGTCCATATGCACCCAGTTTATTAACGGGACCACTTGAGCTCCAGCGGGGATTTTGAATCCGTTGAGCTCTACATCCCTATTGAACAACAGAAAACAAATGGTTAGTATGATTGTAAGAATATATATACATATTTTATCTTTTAAGAGTCTTTTTTTACTTGAATAATTAAAATAGTAATGACAATAAAATTTATTCAACTTACTTCGTAGGAGAATGCGTTGTTGCGAGAGGAACGATGCTCGACATCCGTAAGGTCTCTAGGATGGTCGTTTCAGTGTAAGGCAACCGTGCCATGTCCTCCATGTTCGGCAGCCTGTTTCGACCGACCACAGCATCGATTTCCTCTTGCACTCTCCTCTTTACAGCAGGATTTCTTAACATGAAAACTATCATCCATAATAACGAAGATTTGATTGTTTCCATACCTGCTGAAAAGAGGTCTCCCAAAATTTGTTTTAGTTGAAGCTCTGAAAAGAAAACGTAACCGTTAATATGTAACGTTCGATTTTTTTCTGAACAATTCATCATTAATTTGTCAAATAAATAAATATGTGTGTTAAAAATTAACTTACCATGATCACGTCCTTCGAATAAATCTTGAGACCTACCCTCAGTCTCTGCTTTTGCCATCTCAATCAAATATGTATCAATCAAATCGCGAGCATTGTTGACATCTAATGTTTGACGGTGTTCATCTATTAACGTCTGATAAAATGCAAACATTTCTTCGCGATTTCTTGCTACTTTTTCTTTCGCTTGAGCCTTTCCGGGTAGGTACTGTAAGAAAACAATAATAAATACTACTGCTGGTAATTAATTTTAACATATCAAAATTCATAATTTAGTAATACTTACGTTATATAGAGGGACGTATTCCCCATAATGTACTTCTCCAAATAATCGCATGCCCTCTTCGATGAGATAGTTGAGTCTTTCAAATCTTGCATCACCGTGACTGAATCGTAATGACATCGTGATCCCACAGATGACATTCGATACAGATAGGGCCAGCACGGGATTGGGATCGATGGCTAGGCCGTTAGTGTATCGAATGTTCTGGATCAGGTCATATACTTCACTCTGGTGAAAAAAATAATAATATTAACTAATTGTTTGTTTGACAAAATATGGATAAGGAAAGATCTATGTTTAATAACAATAAATACCTTAATTCGGGTTTCCATAATGCGTTTGCCGTTACCCATATAGGTCATCCCGAAATCCCTAAGTTTTTCGTGCAGAAAACGTCTCTGATTTTTCCATAGTCTGCCGTCACTGTTAATGATACCTGTACAGAATAGCATTGAATGAGTACCCTGATTGTGGGAGGGCGCTTACGCCGGTCGGTGTCGACGGCGGGAGGGCCGTACCGCCCACATGCCATGTGCTCATTGATTTGATACCGGCGCGAGGCGCATTAATGCATTTACGTTAAACAACTCAAATTTCAAAGGAAAGTTTTTTAATTTAATTTGTTAAAAATGTGTAAAACAAAGATTATTCTATTCTATTCTATTTTCTGTTAAAAAACATTTCAAATAAATTTTTAACTTTATTGTTTAAATAACTTCAGTTTATATAGGTTTAACGATTACTCTTTTTGATAGCAAAGTAAGCACTTACCGAGTCCATCCAGAGTATGCATAAGGGGAGTGTTTGGTCGTCCTGTGAATTCTTCCCGACGAAAGGCCTCCCTAATCAATTTGTAGTCGCTCAAGACTACAGTCAATTGATTGCCCAGTCTCGCCGAGAAGAGTGCGCCATAGTTGTGTGCTAGCTCCAAGAACTTTTTATGTCTTATTCCCAAAAAAGGCAAGTAGCCCACCACCGGCGGTCCCCATGGACCGGGCGGGAGCTTCCTTATCTCTCGAAGGGCAGATAGGAGTCTTGCAGCCAGGAGTGCAATAGTCACAGTTAAAAGCAATGGCGTGGATGCTCTGGATACACAGTAATTCAACACTTGAAAAACTCCCCACAAAATTTTGGAATCGTGCAGAAATGCGAACATTTTGTCTTTTAATATAGTCCGTTGTAAAAAAAAAAACTTAAATTATATGTATATATATATTTTTTTAATAAAAAATAACTTAAACTATTCGTGCGCGTAATTTTACGTTGTGAACTCTACGATTGTATATTTCTCACAAGCGCTGTTTGCGCACTGACGAGCCGCTGGCGTGGCCTTGCGAATAAATACGCGCTGGGTGGTGCGCGCTTAGGCTCGTCCCATCGGCGCGGGCGCACCTCTCTACCTCTCTCCGCGGCTTTTGCGCCGGCCACTGCGCTACGGATTTCGTAGCATGATTTCGTAGAACGCACTCCTGTTGGCATTAAATTTCATTTATTTTTTTTAATATCAATTTGTTAAAATAATTTAGTAGTAATTAATATATACTTGTTAGATTTATTGTAACTTAAGTTTTATTTTTTTATTTATTAATTCAAATTACATATATACGAGTATGTTTAACTAAGGTAGTATAATACAATTTGACTGTGGGTAAGATATTTGTACATTGGTTATTTTAAACAATTAAAACATTTAAATTTAAGTTCTTAATCATCATGTATCAAATTTTGTGATATTATCGTTTATAAATTTATGTATGTAAAAAAGAATATATTTATCTAGTATGATTTTCAAGTATTTTATAGATAGAATTGTGAATGCCAAAATTGACTATAATAATAATAATAATAATGTAAAATTCAGGGTAAATGCAAAACTAAATATATTTAATCTTGTTTAGTTTAATTTCAGATAAATCAGGATCAAATAATGATTAATTAGTTTATGTACTTCATTAACTTTCAACGATTATTGAGCCATAATCTAGCGTAGCAACTAAGATAGGCAGTATAATACGTGACCTAGAGTTAGCGATGAGTCGAAACGACAAAAAGTGTCCATTCGACCTCTTTATGCATCGTGTGAGTAGTTAAAATTCGGCAAGGGAACGTACGAGGTCTCGCGGGTGCGCATGCAGATGATAAGATTACCGAATTGCGTAAGTTGAAGCAAGGTGACAGGTCAACGACACCCGATCAGAGAGCCTTGGGTGTACTCCCATCGACCTCTAACCACCCAATTACATTTTCTATGATTATAAATCATGCTCGTAAGTACCATATCAAATAAATCCTTGTTCACCTTCACGTGACTGTGATAGATCGGTCACGTTTTTTTTTTGAGTTATGTATAATTCAAAACATTGATTTACGAATAATAAATTATTGACGGAATTTTTATCGTATACCTTGTAATTCGTGATAATGGTGCAATAAATAAGGTAACATGCTACCCCATCAAAATATCGGTGAACATGAAAATTTGAAAACTACGTACTGAATCGTTTATTTATGTAGAACTTTTTACTACTTTAAAAAAATATTTGTATATTTTCTATAAAGGAAAATTGTCACATAATCTTACCAAACGCAAGTTCTTGGATAACTTAAAGTCGTACAAACAAAGATAGTTTTTGTTTACAGTGTATGTAACACAGAAAATTTCTGATCACAGTTCTAACCCAATTCAATCATACTTTGTTTAATTTGTTCTATAAAAACGTAATTTAAATAATTTGTAGCAAATTTTCTGTCTTCTTTTCGCCCCTGTCAGTGCTCCTTTGCGTATATTTCAAAATATTTTTTTGTCTAACCTAAATATTACTTTCTTTTGATATTAAAGTAAGTACTTACCGTGTACGCGTAGTGTGCATCGCTAATGTATTGGATTCCCACCGAAGAGCTTATTTTATTAGTTTGTAGTCATTTCAGATAATTAGCTGGTAGCCTATTCTCACCAAGAAGAGAGGGCTATAGTTGTGGCCTATCTCCAAGAAGTCTTATGTCGTATCCCTAAGAAAGGCGAGTAGCACAACACCGGTGGACTCCAAAAGATTACCTTTACCTTTATAAAAAAGAAAGAAGACAAAATTAGACTTGATTAGAAAAGGGTACTTTCTAGATCATTTTTTATAGCTCCGCCCATGCAATTAACTTTATTTACATGGGCTATAAATTTTCCTTGTCAATAACTAAGATTATCCTCAATAACATCAGCCAGTATGTTATTATCAATTAATCGTTTATACTTAATATAAACATCATAAAATAATAGTTTACTAATCTGTGTGTAATTAATATTGTTATTGTTTTAAGTTTTATTAATGTTGTTATTAAGTAACAACTTTATTAGGGGAAGCCCAAATAAGACGTATACATTATATGGGTAGGATGAATGAAATTTATAGTTACAATAATCTTACTCTCTTAAACAATATGTGAATTTTAACTATTAAATGAGAAGACAATAAAAAACAATTGTTTATTTGGTGTTGATTTCTAAACACGGGAATTCATTGTTTTGTTACGATTTTTATAAAATAAAAATACTTAATACACGTATTTTCCTCATTTTTGTTAGCCATTTGCAAAAATGAATTTTTCACTCATCTTGGAACTGCGGTGCTTCGGGCAAAACACACAGATGTTCATATTTTCTGATTATGGTATTACTTACATCGCCCTTGACATATGTTATTTTTCCAGACTTATTTAATTTATCAAACGGGAAATCCTATTTGCACATGTATGTTAGAGATATGTTGAAAATTATGTATGGTAAAAAAAGTTTACTTTTGCTCTTGAGTAAATTAAAGAAAGAAATTTAGACTATTTACACTTTAAAAATGGGTTTAGACAAACGTAGGCGGAGCAAAGTGAAAGCATGTGCGAGATTTGATCTGTCCCTTTTACACATTAAAACTCGTATATATCATCCCGCCGGTGTAAAATCACTTTAAACAGGTGCTATTTAAATCTATTCTAGTCTCTCAAACTTGCGTACACAAAGAATATTGATGGACCAAGGCAGTGACCCAATTTAATATTTAAATACGCAAAAGAACATTCAAACAAATTTTCTACAAATCTTCCACAGAAAAAGTTGAAATCCTTACCAAAATAACTAATGCTTGTGTATATGCTACACACTGCAACAATTTATATTTCCAAAGTTAGCAATTTAGTCGACTGAAACAAACAAATCGGGGATTTACCAAATAGATACTTATAGTGGGTTTATTCTAAAGATAAGATCAGAGTAATTTGGTTTGCTCCATTGAGAGCATTTGCCTAATGATTAAATAATTGAAATACGAATATCTTTCTATTTCTAATGTTGATATTTTCAAGTGAGTATTTTTTGAGTAGATGCAAAATAAAATACTCCAAATTTCTAACAATGCATTATCACAGTTTGTTTCACGATAAGTTAGTTAATTCATGAATTTAATCTTACGTTCTGAGTCAAGCGTGAGATAAACAATGAAATTCACATTCTTAATATTGATTTTAAGAGTACACCCTCTTGATAGTTGTCGATTAAGTATTTATTTACTAGTTTACTTTTTGTTTTATGGAGATTGTTGTTGCATAAACTTCAAACAATGGTAGGTTTTAGCTCAGGGCATATCTTGCTAAAGCAGGCCCGCTTAAAAGCTTACTTCAAAAGCCGTTTTGTTGGGTGCCTATCTGCCTGCAGCAAATATTAACTTCTATTGTTAACATTCATAAATTGCAAACAGTTATTAATAACGAAACGCTGTACTAAAATGTTTTGATAGTTTATTAAGAAAGAATAAATCATTGGACATATAAACAAATATCTGAATCTGAAACAGATAAAAAGTTAGCTTTAATGAATTTGATTTAACATTATTTATAAAACTAACAGTTAATAATATTTTATTAAGTATTAAAATTTTGTCACTACCGTCCAATTCATTAAAAATATACCCACAAACAGTTTAAAGGAAAACGAGACGCAATCACTCCTTCAGACAATGAGATAGATAAAGACACATCATTATTAGTAACCAATTATTTAAACAAAATTGAAACTTTATTTGGGCTTTATGTCTTTAAGTGCATAAGTACTTTTGTTTAATATATCGAAGAAGAATATACTCGTTATATTATTTTACGATAGTCACCATATACTCGAAATATAAAACAGATAAAGCTTTTTAATCTAATTATCATTTCTTCATATGAATCATTATAAAAAATGCCAAAAATCATTTCAAATAGATAAAAATCAAAGGAATCTACTACCATTTTAATTATTATTTTATTATTATAAGTTGACGTAATTGCTTATTTAAAAATATATGTACCTATTCGTTTATTTATCTCAATTTAAATTGCCTCTAATCGAGGTTAATGTTTAACCGGTTATGAAGGGCTTGGAAAATTTTCTATTTGTGATACGCAGTTTCTCTGCTGTGTAATTCGGGCCTCTTTGACTACGACGTTCCAAATTTGTTGAGTACTGTTTGTGAACGGCATTAGGCCAAAAGATCATTGACCGTCCCTTTTATCGGCGTTGCACCGATTTATTGTGTTACTATCGTATCGTTCGATAGCTGATAGTATCCCTAACTTAATGTCAGCGTAGGATTAAATAATGTACCTAATGTAATTTTATGAGAGCGACATCGTCGTTAGTTGTTTTAATGTTTAAATTAACACAATATTTAAAGTTGCTTAATCAATATTTTGTGTTTCTAATTAAAAGTTATTGTGAGTTTCCAGCATAAATTATAGCCTTTATCTCCGGCGTATGATGTAGCTTCCTGTAGGTGAAAGAATTTTAGAGGTATAATCGATCCATTAGTTTTGGAGCTTAATGCAAACAAACAATCAAATCTTTACTTTTTTAATTTTAGAATGGATATGTAAGATAGTAACAAAACTAATTGAAATAAATTTATACATAAAAAAATCAAAATAGATGAATTTAAACAGTGAAAGTAAAGTAAAGAAGATTACAATATGTTTTCAAATTTAAATTATATTAAAATACAAAATGTTTATGCATAACAAATATAATATAGCATAGGTACCACTGGAATTTTTGAGTGATCAATTTTCAATATAACTTGATAGTGCAACGAAGAATACACGTAGCGCCATCTAGTATAGTAAACGCTAACAATACTAAGTTAATGACTAACTTACTAAATAATGTTATATTATAATCATATATTAAAGATTTACACTTGGTCGTTTTCTTGAAAATTGAATTGAAATTAAAAACGTTATATCTATTTTTATTTGCTCAAATACCATTTTTCATATACATATAAACAACTTTAATAAAAACCTTTCACTCTCTAAAAAATTCAAAATTCTTTTTTAGTATACTTCTACGAAATGAAACAAAATATATCCTCTAAATATCGAGTATTTACGACCGGTGTATAGGCTGTGCGTAGTTTTCCAAGATTATATTTAAACAAATGCTTATTTTTATT